GTCTGTGACCGTTGCAATGCCATAAGATGGAGAGAAGAGAGAAACACATTCTGCTGTCAAACTGGCAAAGTTAGTATACCTATACCTCCTGCACGCCTTCACGAACTAAAAGTATTACGGTGTAACACAGAGCGGCAGCTCTTTTTAGCCACACTGTAGGTCATACAATAATGCTGTCGCCATTGCTTCAATTGGGTGCAGTGAACAAGCTGAACAGAGCTTCAATCCAACCTTCACAATCCAGGGCAACCTGTACCACCTGTTGGGAAATCTTCTTCCCATTGCTGGACAGTTAGACCTGCTTTTGCAATGACTGCTAATAAAGCTCAGGGGCAGACTTTAAACAGGATACGGGTTTCTTAACAGGGCGATTTTTTTTTCACATGGACAATTGTATGTCGCAATGTGTCGTGTTGAGTCCAGAGACTCTATTACAATACATGCAAAAAGACCTGCTGCCCAGGACGGAGTTCCAGAGGACACATATAAAAACCAGCACTGTTGTCTACACTGAGGTCCTACGACAATGAATCTGGTACAAACATTTTGTCTTGGGATTTCCTATCACTATTATATCACCGTTCGTTGAACTGGTCCGTATCTAGTCATAATTATAATATAATAATAATACTAATACTAATAATGAAAATAATAATAATAATAATAGTAAGAATAGTAATAATAATAATAATAATAATAATAATAATAAATATCCTTTATACCGCACATTTCCATTTTCTTAAAAAAATGCTCAATGCGTATTACATCAAAAAAGACATCTCATCTTAAAAATTAATCGACATTCGTGTACGTAAAAAAATATGCATAATATCTATGTATATGTGTGTAAAACTTTTTATGAGAAATGCGTTCACTAAAAGATTCACGAAAGGTCACAATAAAATTGAAATGTGGGTAACTAGAAACATTCATAAATACACTCGTTCTCTACAGATAGAAAAACTTTTCCGTTTTCTCTCTTTCTCTCTCTCTCTCTCTCTCTCTCTCTCTCTCTCTCTCTCTCTCTCTCTCTCTCTCTCTCTCTCTCTCTCTCCCTCCCTCTCTCTCTCTCTCTCTCTCTCTCTCTCTCCCTCCCTCTCTCTCTCTCTCTCTCTCTCTCTCTCTCTCTCTCTCTCTCTCTCTCTCTCTCTCTCCCTCCCTCTCTCTCTTTCTCTCTCTCATTCTCACACGCTATTTCTTCCGTCTCACAGTCTGGCATACACATGCATCTATATATATATATATACACACGTTTGTATATAATATCTATCTCTTTATATATATATATATATATATATATATATATATATATATATATATATATATATATATATATATATAACAGTAGACAATTATGACAAGTATGCATCTGTGAATTAAAAATATTTTAGTAACCGTGTAGCCTGGTTACAAATAGGGTCATACCGTGATGAGGACATTATTCAGTTCATTCTGAGATAAGCAAACTGTCCTTGGATCCCTCTGGAAACATTGATTTTCAAGTCCTGTACTTTCACAGGCTGGCGGTTCCCTTTTTGGATTGTCAATTAAAATTAAGTTTAGAAATCCTCTTGTGAACTATCAATAATGTTTAAGTTTAGCATTTTGAAGCGTTGCTTACCCTAGCTTAAGCCTATATATCACCGTGAACATTTAAAGAAATTTGTATCACAATCGTGTTTATCACAAGATTGTAATATCAATTGATCGAACAACTGAAGTCAAAATATACCCCTTGCAAAAGACAGTAAAGCTTATTATTTGACTCAGTATCATAAATAAATGTAACGAATATTTATGAGTATCATAATGAACATTATGCTGATCTAGTATTGCGAACAATCAACAGTCTCTAAACGGGGGAAGATGTAACAATAATATAGTTTTACCCTAATGTTTTGACTGATTAATAGTATATAATAATAATAGAAGCCAAGGTAAACTACTGTTCATACTGAATGAGAGCTCTTCAATAAAAGAGTCATTACACTTGGTGCGTGGCGCCTGATCAACATGGCGTGGTGGTGTTCTGTGTCTTGTGTTCATATTAATGTATCTGTGGTCAATCCTGTTTGGTATCGACAAACCCCACCTTTACAGGAAGGTAGCAAGTTCCCTTTACAAGAGGACGTGACATGCACCCTATTCTTCGTAACGAAAAGTAACTGTGTTATGACTCTTCTCCTATGTAGCCTTTAAAATAAAGAGGTATATTTCTTAAATCAGTTTTTGAGAGAGTCGATTACCATGAAAATCCTTCTAACTTAGTGAGAGAAAGATATTTTGAAAGGTGGGTGGGGGTGAATGTTGAATGATTTTCGTTTGTGCTGCTGCTTTATTTTATCTTAAAATGGATTGTCCATATTGAAATTGAAAGCTAGTGAGCAGTAACATAAAATATTCTGAGTTGTATGTATATGTGCCACAGATGCATGAAGGCTTTGTTTCTTTCAAGATATAATTCTCGTCTTCTCCTTCAGTTATCATTGAAAACTTTTTTTTTTAAAATTAGAGATCATACTATCTTCCGCTGAGTGTTATATTATGGAAACTGGACTATGAAATTTATGTTAAAAAAGAAAATCACCAAACCAGCAAAGAAAAATCCTAGCCATAGAAAGGAACCACAGGCTCATATTCAGGAAAAGCAGGTAAAGCCTTGAAATAGAAAACCAAAAATGATATTAAGCAACGGGTTTTTGAAAAGTCAAGATACTAAAATGCCTACTGTCCCCCCAGACTCGGCAGTTTTACTGGGGATTTTTAGGCACTTTAGTGAAATTTCCGAACTTCTCCAAGGGCAGTCAATTTTGAATTTAGGAATGAGCTTGGTTTTCTGTTTTCAGAGCTTTAAAAATGTTTAATATGCTATCTTTGTTAGTTCAGAATCAGCGAAAATTTTTGTAAATCAGTTTTCGCCCTGATTTGGCCAAACTTTTGCCCTGCATTTTGTGCCACCAAACTTCCAAAAATCCAAAAAGTCATATAAATTCTTAATAATGTTTTTATCGTAACCATTGTGATATAATATTGTATCTTGTTTTATGTAGAATCAATATCTAAAAATAAAAATCAAGTACATTAACAGTAAAATTCTATATATCGTTTAATTACGTCAAAAGCGTGACGTCTGGAGTCCGATGCCTTTTATCCAAACAAAGAAACGGGCAAACTTTCCATAATAGTGGTCTGATTTTCAAAAGAAAACCCTCACTTATTTTGTTTTAAAGAGTTCTTTTACTTGCGTTTGGGGGAAAATGATTAAAATTAAAAGCAGTTTCAATCTTACATACATAACTCAAGCAGGAGGTTGGCGGTGCTTTGGGTGTGGTTTGTTCCTTTTTTTTTCTTTTTAACAATCAACCGTCCTTATCATTCTGTCCGCGTTCTTTTCTGTGTATGTCTCTCTCTTGTAACATCTCTAATCTTTGGCGCTTTTATGACCTATCTGTGTTTCAAGTGCCGTTAAACCCATGCTAAAACTAAACCAAAAAAGCAAAACACAGATTTGAAGAATATAAATATAAAATTCAACAAGTACGGTATAAAGAGGGAGATTGATACAAGAATCACCATAGAATATGATAATTATTGAGTGGCATCAAATACAGATATATGCACCATGCAATGGCTCATATCCTGAAGAACAGCGACATCAGATCTATTATCAACTGAGTGACCTTTTAAACACGGTGAATGACAAAGATTATGTGACGGTCATGGGGGACCTTAACGGCAGAGTGGAAACAAGGAAGACGACATGGGGGGG